TCTAATATTGCTCTCTCGAGATTATCTATACCTTGTCTTGTATCCTTGACTCCTTTTCTGTATATTCTTTCTAGAACTTTGGCTCTACTATATGTTAAAGATTTGGTCACTTCTTTTCTTATCAGGTTTTTAGAGTCTTGTGTTTTAGTTGATAGAATATACCTGCTTGCTGCTGCTTGTATTGCCTTCATAATTGTTTTTTACTCTTCATCGATATCTATTTCTGCTTCTTCATCTATTTTACTTCTTTCTTTTCTTTTCCTTTTTTTTGCGTTTCTAATTACTCTTTCTACTTCTTGGCTATAATCATTCTAATTTTCTTTAGTTGCCTTGTGGTATTAGTAAAGTCTTCTTGTCTCTTTTATTCTCTTTTTGTTTCTTTATCTTTTTCTTTCTAAAAAACTCAAGCTATCTAGTTTAACCCAAATCAATTCATGATCGCTATCTGTAATTGTCTCTATTTTATCTATATTGCTATCTAAAATAAAGCTTTTTATATTTTGCGTTGTCTATATGTGATCTATTCTAGTTGATGCTTTACCATTTGACCATGGATACTTGGATATTCCTGAGTTACAGAGATAGAAAACTTCCACATAGTCAGTATTTTTGAGCCAGTTCATAATTTTTGTTCTACAATCTGCATTTCTCTTTTCTTCTCTGCTCATATCTAGTTTTTATTTAATACTGTGTTGAAATCTCCTAACACTACATAGTACATATTCTTTTTATTCTTAATGATTTCTTCTATTAAGGTTTTGTATACCTTTTTTGTTACTTCTAAATTTTTTAGTGGAAGATAAACTATTCAGACTTGTAGAATTACTCTTCTAAAGTAGAATTAGCTTTGAGCAGGTACAGGCTTTATTTTCTGCACGCTCCTAGATTTTTCATTCAATTTTCATCAACTAGTAGTCCAATTCCTGACCCTTTCTTTTTACCTTTTTCTAATTCAGTTCAAAAGCTTGAGTACCTGTACTCTCTTGTATTTATCCATTTGCCTTCTGATTCTCCTATGTTAGTTTCAATAATCCTAATTATATTATACTCTTCAGACTTACCAAACTCTGCTAGCTGTTCTACTTTCATGTTATCTCCTTTTATCCTATTGATGTTGTGTATTCCTATCTTTATACTTTTTCTCTCCCTGTTTCTAGTATGTATGTTGTGAATTATACTGCTACCTATATCTCTGTTCTCACCTTCTCCTTCTTTTTGATTCTCTTCTCTTCTTTTTCTTTGGTTTCAATTTGATTCTGCTCTATTTTGTCTTTCAAGTTTTTCTTCTTAGTAGATAAGAGCTTCTATTAATTCAACTTTGGCTAATATTAGGAACGATTTGAGGTGTCTAGTCCCTAATTGCTCTCAAAGCTATTTAGTTTTCCTTCTAGATATTGTATTCGTTATACTATATATGTGAGAGATTCTGCATATTCATCTTCTTTATATAGCTCCTTGTTTCGTTTTTCATTAGAAGAAGTCTTTTCTTTTTCTAATCTTGTATATAACTTATTTCCTGTTTCACTCTTTTCTGCTAAGTTAAACTTTCCTTTTCTTTCTAAGAAATCCTGTTTGTTTTGGATTACTTCTTTTCTTTTTGAGCTTGTTTGTTGATTATGTCTGTAGTATTCTTGCTGACTTTCCTCTTCTAAACAATATGTTTCACTTGCATCTACTTCTGGTGTTTTCCAGAATAGCTTTGTATTGTAAAAGTTGATACTAAATTTTTGTGCTCGTATCATTTCTTTTTGGCTCTTAAAAGAAACTAATGCATAGCCTTTGTTGTTACCATTTGAATTTTTGAAGATATGTACTGCTTTTGCTTCAGTATACTTTAGCTGCCTGAATAGCAAAACTTTGTTTACATTTTGTAGGATATTGAATAGCTTTAGTGTAAATTGCTTGTGCAAATGGGCGGATTTGACTCATCAAGGTAATAATTCAGAATTGATCTACATACATAATTTGTGTATACGTATATTGTACTAAATCCTAGTCCTCACCCTAACTCTAACTCTAATTTAGGCTAGTTTTAATCTGACACAGGTTTTCACAACATATATAAACAAATCACATGTTGTTTTTATTGTTACTATTACATAATGGATTTATATCTTTGCTATCTTTGTCCACCAGACTTTTGCTATCCTTATCGATCTCAAAGTTCTCTTATAAATCATGAAAAAGTTAAACATCCGAACAATATAATAATTCCTCATATATATACTATAACAGTACCTTCAAACTATGATATCGAACAATTCAAAAATGTATTTATTATTCAAATAAACAAACGACTTCAATTTGGTCATAATGCTGTTAAAAACAAAACAATCTAGTTGGAGCCCTTTTCAAAAGGATTATTTATTACTTTATTTTATCGTATTCCTACTTTTCATTTTATTATATCACAAAAAAAATATACAGTTAGTTTCAAAGGAAATAAAGGTTATAAAGAATTAGAAAATTTATTGAAGGATAATAGATGGGGTAGCAAAGAAGATGGATCGGGAACTACTGCTTATGTTCTAATAGAAAATGAGTCTGAAATATATGAAGTTAATTTTATATGGAAAGAACATTTATATAAAAAATATTATTATCCTTTATTATGTGGTTCAGTAATATGTTCATTTAAAACTGATGTTCAAGATTTTATTTTAGAATAAAATAAATAAAATTTCTTTATTGATATTATAATATAATAGTAAATTGATCAATAACAAATTTATTTATCTTTAATTTGAATAACTTTGTGTGAATAAGTTGTTGGAGTATTATAAATTCGATAATATATTTGTCGATTTTCATATACCATAATATTATATATTGCAGGCATATGATTTTTGCCACTACCCATTGTTGTTCCAGAAAAAAAAAGTCGAATCTATATAGTTAAATATTAGCAAAATTATAAAATTATTTTAAATGATATTAATAGTTTCTTACATGTTCATGATTTTTTTTCTCAAGGCTAGAAGTTGAAAATAAACGTAATAATAATCCTTTATTCTTTAAACTACGTATAAACTTAGGTATATGTTGAGTTAACATATGTATATATGGTGTTATATTTTTTTTTGGATACATTTCTCGCTGTTGATTTGGTGAATTTAATTTTCCAATTGTCGGTCGGCTAAAATCTTTAACCCATTGTCTTGCTTTATTTTTAAATAAATCAATTTCAATATTAGTTAAATGTTGTTGACACATTATTTTATAAAGTCTATAGAATTCACGCCAAAGATATTCTACATTTTTTCCTCTATCTTGATTAAAAAATTTAGCTATTTGAAAGCTTTGTAGTACTTTAAGTTTATCAGGACCCATTAAAGAAGTCCATGTCCAAGAGCTAGAATTGGTTATTGGAGGAAAAAATTCAAAATATACACCAATTCATCTCATTTCATCAGTTATTAATATAATTGTTTTTGTAAAATTTTTTTGATCTGCTGAAAGTTCATAAAAGGCACATTGTAATAATATATCTGAAATCCATAACATGGTATGTAATTCATCAGGTATACAATTGCCTTCATTAATAATATCAAAAAGCATTGGATGCTTACACCCTAAATATTAATTATAAATTTAGACAAATTATATTAAAATAAATTAACATCTTTATTTACAAAATTTAATTAAAGTATATTATTTGCAAATAGTAATAACTAATTTAATATTTACCACATGTATTTAATCCATTATTCCAATTCAATTCCATATCTGCACGTTGGCTTTCATGACAATTGCAAAATAGACAAAAATAGATTGAGTTGGCTGCATTAAATCCTAATGCAAGTGCTAAATATTTCCAATCTCCTGTAAGAAAAAACTCTACAGGCTATATAATTCCTGTATTATCAACAAATCCATTATCTTTCAATTCTTGAAGCTTTTGAGCAAATTTTTGATAAATATAATTTAATGAATTATAACTTTCTTTACCTATGTATAAGCAAATACTTTATAATAATATTATAATTAATAATAATAATAATAATAATAATAATACAGTAATAATAATAATAATAATAAATCTTACCTATATACATGCTTTGGATTTAATACCATTTCACCTTCGTTTAGTATACTAATAGCTAGAATGATATGACTTTGTTTTCGGCCAATATTTCTACTATCGCCACCAATTTTTATATTAATTATATCACCAAAGTAAAAAACAGTTGGATTTGAAGTAGTTAAAACTGGAACTAAAACTGTTAATAAAGATTTGATTGATCGATAAACAGCATCTCCAGTTTTATTATCTAAAGACTGATCAATTTTAAATAATGAGATTGGCAGGTATTGTTCAATTTGATTATTGATTTCTTTACGTCGTTGTTTAACCAAATATTCTCGAACTATATTCAAGTTTATAGCTGCTAATTTTCGATATCTATCACGAGAAATTGATGCCTCATCACATATCCGAACAATAGAAGTATAATGTTCTTGCTTATTTCTATTCTTAGATGGATAATTAAGAGATAGAGCTTTATTCACAATATTAAGTTTTATTGATTCAAGCTCTATAATATTTCTACCTGATGAGTCAACAAATTGATACTTTCGAAAAAGATCTACAACTTGAATGTTTAAATCTTTAGCTACGAGTGCAATTCGTTTGTTCTTTTGTGAATCTGACTTTAATTCTGTATAAGAACATTTACGATTTTCAGGAGTTTTTATTCTTGCCTTGTGCAAACAATCAATATCAAAGCCAAATAGAAATACTCCAGAAATATGTGAATTTTGTTTGCTACAAATATCCTATAATAATTTTATTTATTTTTAAATTAAATACATAAAATGTAATAATTTTAATAATTTTTTGGTTTATATTTACCATTAAAAATTTAGTTCCAGCATTATTTGCTGAGATCATACTACTACTTGATACTATACTATTGCTATAAGGATCTATTCAACTAATTGTATAACTAACGTCACCAGTTTGTTGATACTTAGTTTTACATCTTATAGATAATTGTAATAAATTCGTTTCAATTTCGTATTCATCAGGAATTTGATATGCAATGTCTTTCTTCTTTCGGGTAAATTTAGAAACAGGTGGATAGTAGCCAAGTCTAATTACTTTGTAATGTTGCTACCGATTATTGCTAACTGTTTTATAAACAGCTGTAATATACGAATATTTATTATAAAATATACGACTATCTTTATAGTTTGGTAATTTTTGTATTAAATATTATAAATATTTATTAGTTTAATAACGATAAAAATAAATATCATATTATACTTAAATACGTATTTATAATTAACCTTGATTTTCTACATTTTTATTCGATTCTTCAATTGACTTGATCTAATTCAAGCATATTTTATGAATTAATTATCAAAAAATTAAAAAATTTACTATAAAAAAAAAAAATTTACCGTTGTAAAAAAGCCGCCAGTCTTGTTAAAACCACTATCGCTATTCTGCAAATCTTGATTACTCGGTACTACATCTACTTGAGATTCTTGCTGAACTTTTTTAGAACTTAAATTACGCTTATAAAATGGTTTTTTGAAATGCATAGCGTAACTTGTTTTAGCAAAACTTCCATTACCATTATTAAATGTTTCAGGGGTAAGTGGAGGTTTGAAGATAAAAAATTTATTGCTCATCGGTAATACAATAAACGTAATATACGTATCGATATGAATAATGTATGTGATATAAGTTTATCTAACTAACCAATCAATTATATTGCACGTGGTTAATGTGATATTTGTTGTGACTTACGTTTACTTCACAGTTACTAAATAAGGAAATAGTTCGGGAAAACATCCAATCAAAATCTTTGATTATCATATCTGATTACTGAATTATCACATAAAGATCTACATGCGTCAAATCCGCCCACATGGATACGTATTAGTCTGTACGAATGCGGTTTAAAGATGACTTTTACTGGCCAATCACCGCCTTTTGATTTTTGCCAATCATCACGAGTGTCACGTAATTCTGCTCCGCTTTAGATGACCCCTGAAATATTCTAGTATAAAAGGTTCGTGTAACAGTACCTTTTGGCCAATATGCTCGCGTTCATAACAAAGAAAGAATCTACCTGTTAAAATTAAATAGTTAATGTAGTATGATTTTGAAACTGGCGTCGCAAAAAAAAATGAATGCTAAAAAAGAAGAAAGATTTTCAAGGTACTCGCGCAAAAATAGAAAAAAAAACATATAATTTTATGTAAAACAATTTAGATATGATTAAAACAACAAATATATAAGTTATATCAACAAATAACCTTAAGGTCTGGTGATCTTAGTATAGTGGTTAGGTTGCCAGACCGCCATGCAAGAGATCTAGGGTTCAAATCCCATTGTATACAGAATTGAATAATTACTTAGACATCTGTATCCAACTTACAATAAACTCTGCTCATTTCTGGAGTTGTAACCCTGTAAATCACGTTGCACTAATGCCAATCAGAGTATTGGAAGTGTGACAGAGTGTTCGGCAAGGCATAACATTCCATGAATAAATCTTAATAAGAAAAATATCAGTGTGGCGGTAGTTAATTACAGGATGATATACGCATACTGATCTATGGGCAGAGGACCCGCATGGTAGAAATCCTGAGTTAGGTAAAGTAGTACAGATTTCGACAGTCATACTAGTTTACATCAGATCTAGTGAAAGAAATTTGTGGCTGAAAGATGTAATTGAGCGGGTGCGAGTAAGTCCATCACACAAGGTCATACGGCAACACCAACCTGGCTTAGCGGCTAACTGGATTAGGAGGATCTGTCTCGTAAAACATCTGAAAACATAGAGAACTGATCTGGTAGAAAGTCATGGTAGGAACTGGGTTTGTACGAATATCGAATAAAGGTATATGCAAGCTAGATTGGGATATAGCGTAGCATAGTTGGGTACTATAGCACCCTATCGGTTAGGGAGTTGGTGAAAGGACACCTTGTGAT